TTTTCCAAAGCATTAGAAGGCAAGACAAGAAACAATGGATGGAAACTAATTAAGGAGAGAATCAACCTGGAATTAAGGAGAAACTTCCTAACAGTGAAAACAATTAAGTAATGGAACAGCTTTGCCTTCAGAGGTTGTGGCTGCTTCATTACTGGAGGTTTTTAAGAAGAGACTGGACAGCCACTTGTCTGAAATGGTATAAAGTCTCCTGCTTGAGCAGAGGGTTGGACTAGAAGACCTCCAAAAATTTTAAGCTATATGGTGTTTGTAGCTGTTTATAACATAATTTTCCTTATTGGCTAAGATCAGCACTACAGAAGATTAGATGCTATCAAAATTTGTCCTTGCTGTGAACCAAGCAGTGCGGAGATGACCTGGTCACAGTTGTCACAGAAACCAGTTTGGCTGTGAGGCAGGTCTGTGTCCCAAGGCCATTTGAAATAACATCCACATTTACATTGCTTGGAAAGGATTATGTAGAGGTTATGCTGACATCAACCTCTTTCTGTGTTCCCATTGCCTTGGCTTTCAAGGACTTCAGAAAGCTCATCTTCAAAGCCACTGTTTTTCTTCTGCTGCTCTGTTCTTTCACTTGCTCCTGTTTCAGAAATGGAAAAGAAGAATATAAACATGTTTTCAGCACTTCTTTAGTTGTTGTTGTCGTCATCAATATGTGTCCCCTCACCATTACAAATGCATAGTATACCAAAAGTCAAATCTAAGGGTTCCAATATCCAATATTCCAAATTCTAAGAGGCAGCTACAAAGAAGAGGGAGTCAGGCGGTTCTCCAAAACACCTGAAGGCAGAACAAGAAGTAATGAATGAAAACTAATCCTAGAACTAAGGAAAAATGTCCTGACGTTTAGAACAATTAATCAGTGGAACAACTTTCCTCCAGAAGTTGTGGGTGCTTCAAAACTGGAAGTTTTTAAGAAGAGATTGGACAACCATTTGTTTGAAATGGTGTAGGGTTTCCTGCCTGAGCAGAGGACCTCCAAGGTCTCTTCCAACTCTGCAGTTTTCTGTTATTCTGTTAAATCTTTCCTATTTAGTAATAGAGGAGCAGGAGAAAGAATAATTACAACTGGAATAATTATGACTATGATGTATACTACTATAAAAACATGTGCACAGAATGTCACACGGTCAGCTAACTTAACTATGACTTCAACTACAGTTACAATCAATACCAGCTGTGGTGTTAATTCATACTTCTTTCATTAACAATTCTGCTTTCATCATGATGAAGATAGCAGTGCAATTTCTGATCAAGCTTCCTGGGAGTATGTTCCCTTAAAGTCAATGGATATACAGGTTGTCCTCACTTAACATTGATAGTTGGGACTGGAGTTTCTGTCGTTAAATGATTTGGTCATAAAATGCAATGTCATGTGATTGCCTAGCGATGGCAATCCAGATAGTTCCAATTGTTGTTGTTGTTACGCAAGGATCACAGGTTCATAGGGGAGAAGCTACTTGCCACTTTCTGACAGATTCCATCAGGAATTCAATGGGGAAGTCAACGGGAAGTTGCAAGTCCCAGTCACAGCAAGTCTTTTCTTAGATAGCTTGCAAGTAGGGCGGTGGGCAGGTAAATGCTACCAAGTGCAGGAGGGCAAGTGGGAATAGGTGTTGTGGCACAGTGCAAGTGTGGGTGGATTGGAGGTGGGAACTGCAGCCTGACATGAATGCAACTGGGCAGATGAGTGTTACTGAGTGCAGATGGAGGGGTGCTGCATGCAGATGGGTACTATAAAATACAAGATCACCAGAATCTTGTATTGTGTAGCATGGCTTCTCCATACAAAAAGTGGCAGGAATGGGAGAGCATTACAGAGGAACTTGCAACTTCCTGCTGGCTTCCCAAATGACTGGTTTTTGAGGCAGCTGTTATCCATACCCATGACGTCCAGCTCATAGTTATCAGTATTTACTTATTTATTTATGTCGGACAGCATTTCAAAATGTACTATCAAATGTTTTCCTGAAATCAAAGTATATTATGTCTACAGCCTTCCCAACATTCATTAAAGTAGTTCTCTGAGTTCTCTGACCTGAGGTTGGTCTGACAAGATTTATTCTTAACAAATCCATGCTGACCCGTTAATTACTATATTTTCTTGAAGCATTTACAATCCCTGTGATCTGCCCTACAATTTTATCAGGCATTGATGCCAACTTGATTGGTCTGTCATTTGCTGCATTTTCTATTTCTCCCTTTTGGAAACCAGGGAAAATATTATGTGGTATTCTCACATTATGTATAGACATAATCCTATCTGTATTACATTTTTAAAAATTCCCATAATAGTAGATAGCTCCCATACACAAAAGGCACAACATTCCAACAGAACTGTACCTTGAAATGCAATCTCTTGAAGCTCCCTTAGTAAGTTTTGATGGCGAAGGATGGAGCGAATTCTTTCATCTGAAAGAACAGAAGGGTTTATTATTTTAGTAGCAACAAATTGAGGTGGCATGCAATGGTTTTGCTCATCATAGTTTTATTGGCAAACCAGTTACTTGCGTTCAACTTTTTTTAAAAAAAAATTAAAAATGGTTTTTGACATACATGTTCTTAAAACTTTAACATTCAATCTTGTTAACTTCTAAATAGTTTAAAAGAAAACTGGAAAGCAAATGTACCTCCTTGGAGAGTTTCTAGGCATTCTTGGCTGATTGAAAGTGGTTTTGGCTTCGCTACTGTATTAGAAATAACCTCGGCAATGCATGTCATCACCTAGAAAAAGACAATATATTTATATGGATTTTAGATTTAAATTTTCCTTCATGGTGTTTTGTTTTATATGTGAAACTCTCCCTGCACCACTCCTGTTCTGTTTTATCCTTGCAACAATCTTGTGAAATAGTACAGATTGGAAGCCACCTGGCTTTGGTTAGCCATAAAGCTTGAAAGCTAAGAAGGTTTTGAACCTGGTATTCCTTTCTGCCATGCTGAATTCTAATCCAACATTAACATAATATTGTCCCATTAGAATGAAAAATCTGTTTGTGATTTCAATTAAATGCAGTGCAAACTTCTCAGCATCATTTTTGCTATTTTCTCATAGTTGGAATTACTATCCTTGGCATTAAAATTGTGTTTTGTTTCTTTTTCCATTATGCTCAGGGGTGGGTTCCTGCCAGTTCTAACCTTTTCTATAGAAGAGGTTCCACAAATCTACAGCGCCATTCATAACCGGCTCCAGCTCTCCCCCCGCCCGTCCACATATCATCAAGACGAAGAGCGAGAGGAGGAATTCTGGGAGTTGAAGTCCACAAGTCATAAAGCTGTCAAGTTTGAACACCCCTGGGGTTTTTTTCTAAAGGATTAGGGGTGCAAGGGTCTTGTAATTTGACAGCTTTAAGACTTGCGTGCTTCAAATGCCAGAGTTTCTGAGCCAACATTTTGGTTGCTAAGCAAGAGTGTTGTTAAGTGATTTTCCCCACATTTTACAAGTTGACCCTGCCCCCCCAGTCACATGGCTGGCAAGCCACTCCCACCCAGTCACATGGCTGGAAAGCCACTCCCACAAAGCAGGCCACACCTACAGAAGAGGTTCTAAAAAAATTTGAAACCCACCACTGATTATGCTGTTCTTTTTCATGTTCCTTTTTGCTTCCTATATTCTTCTCATATACTTTAGTTTATATCAAATTTGAATTGAGCAGACTTTTAATAAAGGCTATCATCCAACAGAAAGTTATGATAGAGAACTCTTTAGAGAGAACTAATCTTTGTAAAGCCCATCTATTGTTTTTTTAAATGACGAATATATTATTGGTATAATCTAGGTCAGGTCACTGTATAAACAAGTCTGGGTCACCAGCCAGCAAATGATATCTGTGGGATTAGAAATTAGATAAATGCACACGCAGAGTTGTAAAATGATATTCGTCTGCTTTTTAAAATCTCTCTTATTGTGGATTTAAGGCTTTATTTTAAATATACTGAATAAAAAGACCTATGAAATTTATATCTATATTGTAAGACTTTTTTAATAGAAACTTTCACTTGGTTTTCAATTGGAGAAAAGTATTATTCTTGATTTTCATGTACCTCGCATCTGCACCAAGAAAAATTGGATCTGTTGCTTGAATTACTGGGTTTTTTTCTATGTACAACATCTCCATCTTGTGTGGAATGATTCAATTTATTTGCTTTTATCCATCAAAAGCTCTTTCTAAAAGTGTCAGCCCTTTGAAGCTGTCCAGATCAGGATACAGATTTCACAAAAAGATTAGAACTAAATTCTATATTAGAATCTTGCAAGTCTAATTGTTTTTTCCTCTTCTCTTTCTCTTATACTTGAGTGAGTCAAAGAGAAGCCATCCTGAGTTTCTTCCTAATAATGTCTCCCTTCCCAGGCCTTAAAGAATGCTTTTTTATTTTTGTAACAGCTTCTGAATATTTCCCTCAAAGCCACCTCCATGGCTCACTACGAAAACTCATTATAGACTACCTGGGGGTTATAAACAGAAAAGACAAATATAGATAGATATTTTTATCCTATAATTAACATCAAATTCAAACTTCTGAACAATCCACTCAACAATTACAACTACTACATCTCCCTACTTATCAAACTCATTTTAGAAAGGCACTCTTGGATATTATTGGTTGATATCCTTGAAAATTACTAATCCCTCATCTGAAACTTTTTTGGCAAGTTTCACATTAATATTTTGAAGGTGTTCTAATGTCATCCAACCATATTGTGCAAATAACGAGGGAAACTTTCTTTCTCTTGCCAAAGCTATATCTACTTCTGTCTTTCACTATGCTGGAGATTTAGACATTTTGTTCTTATTTGGGAACTGGCAAGCCTTTCATTGCTAAGCATGTGTTAAAACTTCATCAAAGAATTGCACATAACAACAGACTGCACATGTGTGGGAGAGAAAATATGAAGGTTTTGATTGTCTTTCGAAGACTGCATCAAATTAAAGGAACAAATGAATATCTGAAGAAGTGGGTGTTTCAACAATTGATTATTCAGATGAACTGTCTTTCTATTATTATGCATAGATAGATATTGAATGCATGTGGAACACACAACGGTAGAATTGACCTAAAATATTAAAATAGAAAGCACCAAGAAATGCTAATTCATATTATATAAGCAAAAAAATATCTATTTTTAGAAATTAACCTCCATTCCATCAAATAAACATGAATGTCAGGATTTCAAAAACCTTCATTTCAAGTAAACAGTGTGCAGTCATAAGAAAAGAACAAAAGGAATCAGAAAGGTATCGAGTGGGGAATTTTTGTGTAGCAAACAGCAAAATTAGAATTATTGCCCTAAATTTGTCTTGTAGTTTGAACACCAACAAAAAGAAGTGAGAATCTTTCATATTATTCTAACAATAACCAATGTGATATAAAAGCAAAGTGCCAAATTCAGGGGGACCAGCTTTGAACTTTTTCCTGTTTTCAGAAATAGTTCATTTGTGTCTTTTGCTTATTTTCTTATTTGATTTGAAGGTTAGTTAAGGATAATAAAATTTTATTTTAGAAACACTGAGTAAATAACTCCTTATTCTCTCTCTCTCTCTCTCTTATATCTATCTATCTATCTATCTATCTATCTATCTATCCATCCATCCATCCATCCATCCATCCATCCATCCATCCATCCATCCATCCATCCATCCATCCATC